CATCTAAAAGGGCACACAACTATAAAGGAGTTCCTTTGTAATATATTTAACTAATATAATTAATGGGCTTCAGACAATGATGAGAGTGTAGAAAACCACGTCGAATTGTTCAAAGTGTTGGAAAACAATAAAATTCAGTAGGCCACATGTGTGGTGTGTGCCACACCCAGGTGTGATGTGTGTCACACCCAGGTATGACAGAATTTGCCCTGTTATCAGGGGTGTGGTGCGTGCCACACCCGGGTGTGGCAGAATCTGTTATGTTGTTAGGGGTGTGGTGTGTGCCACATCTGGATGTGACAGATGCGTTTTTAGAGTCCCACCCTATTTTAGATTGTGTTTTGTTATAAATAGAAACACGTTTTTTAGGGTTTCTTAACCAGAGAATTATCATTGTTTTGAGCACTTTGAGAGGGAGATATTGTGAAGGAGTTGGGATCTTTGGTTAGGGTTATATTTGAGAGTTTGTGTGAGTTGTCACCCGTTATAATTCTCCTCGATATAGTGAAATCTCTCCATCCTCTCTCTGTGGACGTAGACAATTGCCGAACCACGTATATCTTTGTGTTTGTGTGATTTTGGCCGTTATTTTGGTGGATTGCACTCGTGTTTGGTTTTGGTTCTTCTCTCATCGCTCGCCGACTCGTTTGATTCGCGAGCACGGTTCCGAACGGCGCGCGACAAGTGGTATCAGAGCTCAGATTTTTAGATCTAGGGTTTTGCATTGGATGGAGGAGGATTCGCTGTTGGAAGCTTGGGCCTTGGAGATCTAGGCTTCGGTAGAGATAGCGTTGCGGAGTTGCCATTGGAGATCACACTTTCCTCGTGTGGCTAGGAGATCGTGTTGGAACCCCATCTAGGGTTTAGTTAGGTAATTTCTTAATTCTATCAAGTTCGAATCTTTTTTTACAATTTGGAGTTTGGTTCGCAAGCACGCTTCCGCACGATGCACGATAGAGTGGTTATTAGTGAATTGTAGAATTTCTCTATACTTATAAGGATGCAGAGGATCCATTGTCCTCTTCTAGCATACGACCTATCCTTCAAAATTAAAACTACAAGAATAACATGCTCCAAACCGCTGTTTGTGTAATTAACTCGATTTTTTGTGAGATCAGTTCATAGATCAAATGAAATACGGAATAATTTCAACTAGAAACTTTGAATTTTTCATTTACTCTCACATGAAGTCCAATCACTATAATAAGTATCGACGCTCCAATCACAACTCAAAAACGCCAATACGTACCCTAATCTCATGACGACTCTATATTTAGGGTTCAAGGAGAAGAATGCCATTATACATCCAACATTTTTGTCCCCCGGCCCTCGAATCACAAATAAACTTACATCCCCGCCTTCACTTCATTTTGTGACCCCAACTCTCATCAACGCAAGGTAAGAAATAAGCCTACAAAAGAAAAACATGGCAAACATGATCACAACCGATAAGTAAGCCCGATCAAGCCCAATGAGCCCGATCGTAGGGAGATCCACAACCCTACAAGTAGCGCTTGGCGCGCATGGGTACGTCTCATTTGGAGTGTACTGCGACGACGCCAAAAGCTTGAACGAGTGGAAGTTGAGCGATACGTATTTGATCCAAGCAATAAACTTCGGGACTTTCTGAACGAAGAACCCACCGGCGAGCATGAAGGTTAGCATTATGACCGAGGCTAGGGTTGTCGCGGACTTTAGGTCCATGATAAGGGCGCCAAGCGCGAGCCCAATGCCTTGGGCTACGAGAACGTTCAAGAGGATTGTGGCGAGAGTCATGAAGAAATTTGCGGCGGCTAACTTTAGGTCGATCATCCAGTACGAGATGAGTAGGAATAGCGTGGGGAGTATTAGCTCCATGGGGAGATCGCCGGCCATTCGAGCCATGAAGTAGGAGGAGAGACGGTACATGCGCGAGGATCTCTCTTTCGTTAGCATCATTCGTTCTTGAGGGAAGGTGAACAAGGCTTGGTAGGTTGGGTAGAAGGTCCAGAATCCGGCGACGAAGAAGAGGGATCCGACCTGCGAGGATAGTCAAAAGTTTATTAGCAATGGCATGAGATCAAGTGAAAGAGTAGACAAGTAACGAGGTAAAGAAAGTGCCGGCCATTCGAGCCATGAAGTAGGAGGAGAGACGGTACATGCGCGAGGATCTCTCTTTCGTTAGCATCATTCGTTCTTGAGGGAAGGTGAACAAGGCTTGGTAGGTTGGGTAGAAGGTCCAGAATCCGGCGACGAAGAAGAGGGATCCGACCTGCGAGGATAGTCAAAAGTTTATTAGCAATGGCATGAGATCAAGTGAAAGAGTAGACAAGTAACGAGGTAAAGAAAGTAGAGGATATTTCTGCTGCTTCTGAAAACCAATGCCCTAATGTAGCGAGTATGTGACGTACCCGTTTCTTAATTTATATTTGCCTGAACTGTTCAAAAGTACTAAGACTTGCTTGTGTATACGAAAAAAAAAGTTTATTGTTAACCCCTTCCCTTATAAGTCTGAGATCCCGAAAACTCCTAATCTGCAATTTCTATCCAAACGAGTAAAGCAAGCAATATTATGTCCATTATGATTTTGGATGCTCTCCACTACATCCACTATAGATAAGCAGTGGAGGGAGCACTATCTTACCAACAACTTTTGATTTATTCAGCAGAGGGTTATGATTCATTCTAAATCTAATACTTCATCGATCATACCCTTGTGAACTACACTTATTCCTAATTTGCACTCAAAAACAAATCACACCCACCTACTAGATGAATCATGGTTATTAATAAGCTATTGGTCTCTCCACTATTCTCTCCACACTTCATTGGAAGTGAGGAGGATCCAAATTAATCATTTTCACCACTTGGAAGAGAATTTCTTTTGCTTCTTCCTAGTTTATAATTTTAGAAATTAGTTCTTTGATTCACGTCCTTCCTCTACCAGACTAGTTCCTAATTAATATATATATGAAGTAATGTGTATATATTAAGCAAGGGAGGGAAGATGGAAATAACCTGCTCGGGGAGCCGTCGGCTAGATTTCCACCAGAGAGCACCGGCGATAAGCGCGACAAAGAAAATCTCGGCGACCTTGAGGCCGGAGAAGGACTCGTGCCTCCTCTCCTTGAGCCCTCTCTCCAGCAGCACTCTGAACTGTTGCCACCAAGTTGTCGTCCATTCGCTCGTCAGCCTCTCCGTCTCCCGATACATTGCTGCTCACTGCTTGGAGCTCCTGCCGTACTCTCTCTTTTAGGTGGATGCTGTAGGCTGTGAATAGCGACTCTTTGACGACTGCTCGACTCTCCAACGTCGATTCATGTGAGGGTACACCTGCATGATATGTATTGATGATCAACATAATTGTAGACAATATCATTATCAAGAAAGGAAATTGGAATAGATCACTAGCTACTGGTCAATTATATCTAGAAAGTATCCGTTAGCATGTAAAATTATAATCTTGAATCTATAAAAGTATCCTTTGACATCATACGGAAGTAACCATGCAGTTTAAATTTCTGCTAGTAACAAATTTAAAGTGGATTTAGAAAAGGTAATACTACTCCATGAGTCTTAAGTTTCCTTTCATAAATAGGACACTCGATCTGTGTGAGCACATTCAGAAAATAAAATTATATTCGTCAAATCTCACCATAACAACAAAACTTTGATGAAGTAAAAGTTTCTTCTAACTCCTTTCTAGTAACTTCATTTATCTATAGGTTTTTTTTAGGAACAAATAAATTTTCGTTGAGAAAGTTGTTTCTCTATTAACAATTAACAGTTCAATATGAATCCAGCAAACTTAGGTGTGATCCGAGTAATTTTATGATTCTACATGTTAGACTATTGAATACATTGCCCCCGCACAACGATTCTAAAGTTTTGATAAGGGCTAAGGATTATCGTTTTTATATTCTAACATGTCATTGCAAGTTGAGTGTCTTATTTATGGATTGAAATCTAGATTCACGCAGCGGCATCACTTTTTTTCTTCCAAATTTACGCGAAATTCATGACCTGTGAGATTTAAACATGGTTTGCTCTAATACCATGTTGAAGATCCTATCACTACATCACAACTCCGAAGTTTTGGTGTAGGTAGGCATGTCCAATTGGGCCTGAGGCCCTGGGCCGGACATCGCAGGTAGGCCTGTCCAATTGGGCACCGGGCCCTGCCCTGCCCGGCTAGGAGTATGGCCAGGCCATCTCTCTCTCTTAGCATAGTATAGATGCTAAGATATAACAATATAAATATATATATAATATAGTTATAAGTATACTTATGTGTATATTATAGAATTACAGTTATATAAATATATATAAGTGCATAAGTATAATTATAAGTATATATTGTACATTGCATCTAGTATATATAAAAGTATACCATATAAGTAAATTGTATAACTGTACTTAAATAAGCATAATGTAATTTTAATTTATTTTGGATGTATTTATCTATTGTGATGTGACGAATTCCAAAATAAATTTATAATTGTAGATGATTAATTAATTATTAATAAAGAAGTTATTTTTATCATTTTAATTTTAATAATTTTTGTATTTGTAAATTATATAATTATAAGTGATTAATAATATAATTGTTTATATCAAAATTTTATTTATTTTTTCGGTTTGTATTCATGAAGATAAAAAAATTTAAAAAAAAAGAAAAAACCGGCCCGGCCCATTTGGACAGGCCTAGGTGTATGTCAAAGGTTATAGTTTTATACATTCTAACAATACACAATTAGCGAGAATTTGAAAAATGTGAAGGGGGAAAAAGTTAAATTTTGGCTTACCATTTGCGAGATCAAGCAAGAAATCAGCCGGATTCATAGCCACCGAAGGCGCAAACCCAACGCTCGCAAAATACTCCATCGCCTCA